TTTCTAACTTTAAAGAGAAGATGGATCAAAGATTGTCATCCTAATGCACATATTAAATATGGCAGCAATAACAATAGTTATTGAATTAAGTGATATTTGTTCTGATAGTTTTTTTATAATATTACAAGCTTTGAGTTATAGCATGAATAACAGTTCATCTGGAATGTTTGTTAATTTTAACCGAAGTGAATGAAATTACGAGAATTTAAAAAAAAGAATCATACTTATTTATCTAAATGCTACGTACATGTTAATAGTAATAGTAAAAATTATACAACAGAAGAAGTTCTTTCAACAGATTTATTAAAAAGAAAAAAAACTTCAAATTTTCATATTCTTTCATGCAATCGAATGATAATGATAAAGGTCAATTTAATTGACGAAAGAAACTAATTATCATTTAAATTCTGGCTTACAAGTTTTGTTGTACTGATTTATATTATCTGCGGATAATATTTGAAATGTTTTGTGCTTCTCAGTCCATTTGGTAAACATACAAATGAATCATAACAAGAATTTAACAGTCAATTCACTTCTATAATCTGACATTGTGAATTAATCATTATAACAAATTTTATGTGATGCAAGTAACTACTTCTGATTTAGCAGTAAATATCTCAAGTAAATTGATGCGTTAACAAATTAGTTATTGGTGGGGAAGATGAAATTTTAATTTCATAGAAAATAATGAAATTGAAATTATATTTTCAGATTGCAGGAAGTGCTTTATTTAAATTCAATTTGATAAAGAACAAATCAGTGCGAAGCATATTACATCGTAAAATCGTAAAATTAATTAGATCATATTCAAGTTCCAAGTCAAATTGATAATGTCTATATCACATTTAGATTAAATAAGATAAATATAATGAATTTTTCTATTGGATATTTGTAAAATTCCACAACATTCGGCTGTTGTTTCATTATCTTTTTAATATCAACGTAACCATTGGAATTAACCCAGTAATTGTTCGAATTGATTCATTTAACTAAAAAACGAATTTAAATTCATGGCATCAGATATAGCACCATTCTTCTCTTTTAAACGCTGTATCTGTTTTTCATAACTGCTCAACTTTATGACTCGTTCCATCTCAAATTACATTAATTCTCGATGCAGAAAGGATGCAAAATCGTTGCAACATAATTCCAGTCAAAATTTTGTCAAAATTTTCATTTGCCTTGAGACTATTAATTATTCTGCAGCATAGTTTTCCCTATTAATGTTTATTTTCCCTTTTTGGCGTGTTACTTTATTCGATTCAAAATAAATGCCTCAGTAATAACTATTAAATATTGGCCTCGTGGAATGAAATTTTTATGATGAGTGATATTTTGGTGTTATTTTCTTTCTAATCTAGAAAAGCAGTGACATCAACACTCAGCAGATGGAATGCAATTGTTAGATATTGTCCATGGTACTTCTGGTACTTCTAGTACCATGGACAATATCTTCTGGTGAGGACAGCCGAGCAACGATTTTTGTTTCAGTGCAATTACGGGTAACACTGATAAAAACTGGTTCTTTGTTTTGAATTGCCTTTTTTATGTTTCAAGATATCCTGGATTCTACAGCTATATATTTCTGGTGGCTTGATTTTACAAACATATTTGCAAGTTCTTCTAATCAATTCAATTTAGTTCTTAATGGGGCATGAATAGAAAGGCACACCGAAATGTTTAAATTGAAATGTTAACAAGAACAAAACTTCATTAGTTCATTTTTTTAAGCAACAAGTGCTAGTAAATCAATATTTTCGATTTCAGGTTAGCAATACTGATTATGTCTCATGCATTGATTTTTCGAAGATTATAAAATGTACAAAACATCAGATTAAACTTTCGCCTTAATCTAATTGTTTGTATCCATTTCACTACATAATAACAGATTAGAGCAATTTTTAATGTTAATTTGTTTATTCAGAAATTATGACCATTTCATTTCAATTAATCATCGAAACAAACAAGTCGTTTCCGACGTTTGACACACCCTCAAAGAATTTTGCTACCTTTTTCAGTATGTGCTTATACTTACGTCGGAATATGTGTCCCATGCAAAATTTTCTTCTCCTTACTTTAATTTGCGCTTTTCCGTCGAATCTTTGGGTAAGCAATGAATGATTTTTCATGGGTAAATTTAACGTACGTTGTAACAACACGAACAAAATACAGTGAATGAATTTCGAACCATTATTAGCTGTAAAAGCGTTTCAATCTCGTGCTGCCAAATTGTATTTTAATCTAGTCTCTTAGGTTAATCCATTTAGGAATCTAGAAACTGAACCTCATCAAAACATATTAGTATAAATTTTTCAGGGGAGAATATCACGCAAGGTTCAAGTGAAGGTCACGTTGGAAATATGACAGGTACAGTGCTACATGATAGCCAGTTGTCACCGCTTGATGCAATATTACGTGCTAATAAAGTGAATTTAATTGCTCTTGAAACATTCGGAGAATTAAATCAGTTTTGGGGTAATGTAATTCGACTGTTGCTACCAGTATCTGAACAAATTGAACATGGATTATTATCATTCATACGTAAAATTTTCCCTCAAATATTTGGTGATTTGAATCCCTCGGATATCGCAATAAATAGAGTGACTCGCCCACCAGACCAATCAAATTTGTTGATTAAAGAATTGATTGATGCTTTCATGTTGAGTTTAGCCAAAGCAAATTTTACACTTTGATTCAGTGCACCACTTGACCAGCTTCTTTTCAGTTAATTTTCCTAAATTAAAGTGAACATGCTTTATTAGTTCCGCCATTTTTACACATTCATAAAATTTATTTGAAATTAGAATTGCAACTTTAATTAGGTGTTTTCTTTCTCCAGTGTCATAGTAATTAATTAGATAAAGTTGACTAAATATTGTTAGTTAAACTATTTATCCTTCTAATTTTATGTATTGAAAAGTTTGTTCTTGAAATATTTATTCGGTAATTGAAATAAACATTTACGAATATACTGTTATTTCAAATCCAGCACTGCTTGAAAAATACATATTTTGACCAATTCAAATCCAGCACCGTCTGAAAAATATATATTTCAATCAGCTCAATCTGAGAAATGGAAAGTACTGTAGAGCAAGAGTGTTTTATTATTCCATGCTAAAAAACAAGCACTGTTGAAGTTTTATTTAGAAGTATTTGTAAAGATACGACAAATTTGTCTATCCTAAAAATTATCAAAGCTTTTCCGAATAAATGCCTCCTAATAATATATGAAAGATAAGTTTCAATTTTATCATTATTTATTTCAAAAAAAAAAAAACATAAATTTGTATTGATGAGAAGCGCAATTTTAAGAGAGAAGGTCACAAATATAGAATAGCGGTGGAAGTAATAATTAGTTGTATTCTTTGGTGTTGTCTGCTGGATGCTATTCGTCTTTTATGGCCATTATTGTCTTACTAATTTATTGATTGATCTTTAAAGAATTTCTTTTATTGACAAAAATTTCTTTGGGGAGAGAGGTCTCTAAGTGTTCTGGGTTTCGTATTAATTGGATGTTTTTTTTCTTTGCATTTTTTGTTTTTAAATTGGTTGATTTTCTATTTAATGTAAAGGCAGAAGGATGGCTTTTGAGATATAAGACTTAAGACTTTGAAAGTTTTGGGATATAATATATAATCTTTAATTGATTTCTAAATGGAGTTACTGTGAAAGTTATCGTTACTAAATATTGTGTTATGAATGAATGTGACAATTATAAGTTTATATTCAAATGTGGTAGTTACTGCTTTATGTATTTTGTAAAAAAAAAAAGAAAAGTATATGGATTGAACTATATAAAGCACGAAGATATATCGTCGCCTTCTTGGATGAGGTGGAGAGGAGATTGGAGGGACTATGAAGATGAAGAGATTCTCCTGCAAGAAGGTAGTTGACACTGGTTAGTTGTTAGGAGATTATCATATATTTTTGCTCTTCGTTGCAAATGTATAGTGAAGTAGTCGGAATAAGCATTGAGCTTTAATTGCTTGGGCAGTCAAATGTTTGTGGCCACGTGAAATAGACAAATTATGCTAAATTAAATATATTTTAGATCGGATTTTTGACGTATTGTGAGGGAAGCAGCGAATTGCACGGTGTGAGAAAGTTGGTGAGTTTTAGTCTTAATAGCATTGAAAATAGTTATTTGCTTGTAGTTTACGGTGAGATGTACAAAGCTTGGCTTTCGCTTTGTCTAGAATGATTGTTTGCATCCAATCCAAAATGATCACAAAATTACCATAAGTTGTACACCAATATGGGGTATCTGCGCCAGACACTTTGAAACAGTAAAGAGATAACAAATTAACAGCAAAAGTAGTTTCTCAAAAACTTTCTATCATTAATTTCACTTAAAGATCAGCGAGCTCATTGACTCAATTTCTTTTCTTGCTGCAACCTTAACCTCTAGCTGTACCTGCAGTGACCTCTAGCAGCGGTGTACAAATTCATGTGCCTTCAATTAGGGAAAGTGTTGCTCACTCAACGAAATCGCCTCAAATTTGATCCTCTGATGCGAGAAGATTTATAACGCCTTTTCATTCCAGTGATAAGCTGATGATTTTTATGAGTTGAAATTTAAAGGTTAAAGTAGAAAATGAAAGTGACTGTAAAAAGTAAAATATTTGTAAAGTCAATCTCATTCATACCTTCCAAGTCAATGAATTTTTCTTTCAGACAAGGAGGCTTTCAGTGACTTTGGCGCCTCGAATAGTTTTGGTAAAAATCAATAAAAATTACAACTGCTGTGTAAAACAACTCATTCTATTTTTACCTGTTTGAAAAATGAGATTTCCTGCCTCAACCTTCGTTGAGTTACATTAGCCTTCTGATGCCTTTTTTCCTACAATTGTATTCAATATAAATTAAATAATTATTGGAGTTGAAAAAACGTTTGCAGCTAAATATTCCGTCAAATTCGATAAAAAAAAATTATTGATGTGTTAATAAATCTTCGGAATGCCAAGAAATCAAAACTGTTTTTTGGTATTTTGGTAGGAAAATTATAATAACTTAGCTGCTGTGAAATTAAAAGTGATGATGCGATAAAAAGCAATGGCATCGATAATAACAGTGATAACGATGACACCATCTGACAGGAACATAGCAATATAAGCGAAGAAAGGATGATTACATGGTCCATAAAGGTTTGACCATGAATGAATATAAGCTTCGACATAAAGCAGGCATTCGACTATGAGTTAAAATTTTCGAATTTAGATAAAGAGATGAAGAAGGAAGATAATCTAAGTGTTGTTGTATCTTATTTTAAAATGCTGAAAGCGAATACCGTTGTAATAAAGCAGAGTGATTAGCATACTAAATGACCATAGAGATATGACTGTTATCCAAGCATTTTTGGGATTAAAAATGCGATGATATTTCATCGGATATGAAATTGCCCAAAGTCGATTGATTGCCAAAACGAAATGCATCCAAATGGCCGCATACAGTGTTGAATTGGAAATGGGAGATGCTATTCGAATGAAAATGTGCCATGGAAATGATATGAATCCCAAGTTTCTGATAAATTTCATATAGTTTTTGATGTAAGAATTAAAAAGGACTAAGAAGAATCGAAAGGTAGGAGAAGGAAGAATGAATTATACTAAGTTTGAAAAATGTATTGAATCAATTTTCAACAAACTATTAAATCTTATCAAGATATCAGTAATTATTTATCAATGATAATTAAGGAATATCCAGTAAGAACTGAATGAACTTTATTTGCAAAACAGTTGAATAACAACGATAAAGTTTTCCGTTGCTCATAACTTAAATAAATCTTTAAAAAGAAAACAAAGTAACAATAAGTATATAAACTATAATGCCAATAAGAGAAAAAAAAACGAAAGAAATAAGTGAAACGAAGTGATTATTTGTACTCTTTTATTTTTCTAAAATAAAAAATATATCCGAAAATTCGGAATCTTTCGTTATCGATAGCGAGGATTATTGAAAATTAGCAAATGCATTCATAAAATATAAATGAAGAAGCTTAACAATAAGTTATAATATGATATAAAAATTGTCTTCGCAGTTTATTTCAGAAAAATTAGTTTCCTAGTTTGTTTAAAAAATTGTGAATGTAGGAAAAATAAAAAAAATTATTTCTTTTGTACAAGAGAAAAGATTTCATCCCTTTTCAATATAATTAACTACAGACATTATTTGTTTGTTACTTGCTTTTTTTTCCTTGTTATGCTTATTTGAAGATAATTTTTGTAATTTTTTTTTTCTTATTTTGAAGTATTCTTTGTATTTTTTTTTTTTTTGAATTACATGAATTTTGCTAAATTTTGAAGTGAATAAATGAATGCAATTCATTTATAAGTGTTCTTTTTTTATCATTGTATTTTTTTCTGATTTTGTGTATTTTTAATAAGAAGGAAAATTTTTGATAAAAATCATAAGGAAAAACATTGCCGAACACCATGAAATGACAATTGATGAATATTTCCGCATTATCAGCTGATCATAGTGGCATATTTTTACAATTTTGAAAGATAATAGACAATCGTTTGCATATCATTAATCGATCGGAAATATGCACTGTTTGAGATTTTAATAACGATACAGCTTGTTAATTTACAACTAATGGACATTTGCGCAATTTAAGCATTTTTAAGTGGGCATTGTTATGCATCCCTGCTAATAAAATATTAGCGTGTTGTTAATTGATTGAAAATAAGCAGTTCAGAAATATTCATTAATGATGGAAATTTTGGCATTATTAGCTGATCATTCTTACTGCTTTCAAATAATGACAGAGTGGTATTTTGCACATTCTGCCAAGTTAAAGTTTTTTTTTCTTTTTTTGTTACAGAAAACTGGAAGTTGATCATTATGATATATGCTACTTTAAAGTAAGAAATGTTTTCGGAACGTAAAATAATTTTTGGAACACTAATTTATGTCATCTTTTTTCATTAGCATTTTTTGATTACTGAATAAATTTTTTTTTCAGCATTTTTTATTTCCACATTAGCAATTATGTATTATTTTTGCTGTTATCCTTTTATCCTGCACTATTTTCCATTTTTTTCTGGAAAAATAAGGTGAAAATAATTTTATACATAATAGTATAACAAACGAATTTTATGTTGACTCATCAATTTTTAATCAAATTCACCACTTCGTGTGTTGGTCATTATCTTTTTTCATGCCCACGGTATCATCATCAATACATTTTTAATATGTTATCCATTTACAATAGTTTGACAGTTGTTAGGCTTTTAGAAACTTTAAATATTTGAATTTAGTTTCCATTGAGTGCTATCTTTTCGTATCAAGTTCAATTAGCTACATCTAATAAATTGATGATCAGAACTTCCAGATTTCTTTTGCTAAACTAACTCTGTAAAATTATTAAATCATAAAATTAATGTGTAAATGAATTCAACTCGCATTTTGACTCATTAAAAAACGGAAAAATGAAGTTTCTGGCTTTTCAACAGGCTCTTTAATTTTTTGCACCTAGAACAAGTTTACGCTAGCAAGCCAGAAATTAAAATTAAAATTTTCAGTTAGACTCTCAATCAAATTTTATTTGTTATAAAAATGAATCTTTCCTTTTTTCTTCCTTAAATCTTTGATAATTATCTCATTAATTCAAACCGGAACTTTAATATTTTATTGTATCTTTTTATCAAAATTCCATTTTGAGTTACCGAGCGATGTTATTTAGATGAAATTATTTCAATCTAACTTAGGCTTTAAAATCTGCTAAATTCAACAAGGATAGCTATTTTATGAATTCAAAAAATTAAATACGATGGAATCAGCAAGATTGTAAGAATACTACGTGTAAAGTAATATTTTACGAAAAAAGCAATTTAACAGAGATATTCGAACATCACACATGAAATTCTTTTACAATTAGGTTTTTACAAATAGCTGCATAAATTTGCATAAATTACCATGAATTTATATAAATTGTTGGTAAGCATTTTGAGTTGTGTTGCATTTCAACTTTTTTTTTCAGCCTATAGTGCTAAAGATAGTTGTACATAAATAAAATAAAATTCACATAACAAAGTGTTAGAAATTTCATTTAATCAATAATATGAACAAATATTTGATCACTTTTATTATCTGCTAAGATCGTAATGATATTTGATCCAGTTTATAACCACTAATAGCAGAAAAAAAGTCCATCTTATAATATTATGATACTGGTTGATATAATTTTACACTGTAAACATTTTAGAAATGAAATGAAATAATACTGTTTTCATTTAGATATGAAAATATCAATTTATTAAAGTTTTTTTTTTTTTGTTATAAGCAATAAATATTTTTTCAGCCAAATAATATTTAGAGTAAATAATTTAAAATTTATAATACATAACATTTCACACTTGATGAAAAGAAAGAATTCATAAAATGAATGAAAAATATATCTGTCACACAGCAGTGGGTTTCATTGTTGAACTACCACCATTCACAAATGGTGTGAATTCTTCTTCGACCTTTCTTTGAACCATTCGTCTTTTAATATATTTGTAACCGGCTTGCAAGATAGATCCTTCCAATATTAATACTATCCAACATATTGTCATTGTAATAGTTTGCAATCCTAAGTATGATGATGGCGATAACCTTTCTGTAACATATAAATTAAACTATAGAAAATCTTATTAAATTATTACCAAATTGCATGCATATTCACAGTCATTTGTCTCTTATTCAGAAGATCAATTGATAACTGATAATTTCATTTTGTAATTCAATTCAAGTAATCATTATTAAGTGATTTAAAATTTTTGTGATTTAGGAATATTCTTCAAAAAAAAAAAAATATTTATATATTTGAAAGTACTACTAATTGGACTTTCGAGATGAATAAGTGAAAATAGTAACAATGCAAATGCAATCCATGTTAAGATCGTTACGGTACCAACTATCAACATCATTATAATCTGAAATTTTTTTCTGATCTGAAATTGCTAATACTAATTTGATTATGATTAGCAGCTTCGACATAGTAGAATGATTCGTTCTCGATTACAATAAGCTAGCTTAGATTATCTGTATTCAAATGAATATGATGATAAATGCTTATCAAACTGCTTTCAAACTTCTAATCATTAGCAACGACTTATACAGATTTTGCATATAGCTACTTACTTACTTGCTAATATTGTAATTGTTTTAAAATTTCAAAATATCGACGCTTTTGTATGTGCAGTTACACTTCTTTTTTATCCCTAAATTTCCATCATATTTCGCATATTGTTTGCATAAATTTCAACAACAATAATATGCAATGAGCATACTCTAGCAACTAGCATCGGTATCATTAGCCTATCCGATTCGTTTATAATACCAATGTAAAATAATGTAGGTAAGAGGGTTAGCATCAATTGAGCAACACCAAATGGTATGAAAACCATTTCTAATGTTGCTAATTTGACGAAAAATCCACAAATAAGCAAATGAAGAATAATGTCACCGATAACAAACAATTTGCAACAAATCTGCAATAAATATAACAAAATTTTTCAAATATTATACAGTAGTAATTATTAATTATATTTGCATTAGCAAATTGTAATAAATTATGTTTCGCAATATGCGCTAACTAATTGCAATCTCTTATAATACATGCAAAAATTAGAATTGGTATGCTAAATTAATTTTGCAATAATGACGTCAACATAAATCTATGTTACAAATGCAACACTTCTATTTAGTCACTTAGTTTAGTTGCTTAGCTGACTAATAGTTGCTACTGAATTTCATTCCGATAGCAATAGGTGTATTTTAAGGAATACAACAAATATGTCTGTATAGAAAAATTTTTTAAGTTAACTTTAGTAATATTAATTTAAGAACTTACCTGTAATGGCACTAATCGAAAACAATATCGTGGTTCATATTCATACTCCATTAGTGAATTCTATTATTCAAACTAAGAGAAGCAGATGATAATAGCTACTTTCTGTAATACTTATTTTGGAATCTATCAGGAAAAGAAAAATAATCAAAAAGAATAGCAGCATAGTAGCTTTAGCTAAGTTTACTTTTAGAAATATGAGCCAAGATTAATCTAGCAAAAATGAGTTCGAAATATGAAATGATTGAGTCATTTTTATTTAATTGAAAATGAAAAAGTATTAATGTTAGCATCTATACATCGATGATTAGATAATGGACTTATAGATAATGGACTTATAGACTAAGCTTATTTGAAATCTAATATTGAAATTTTTATTTTAATGCTTTCTTAAAATAAATCGTAATTTTGAGATAATACATTTAAATTAAATCAATTAAACTTGAAGTAAAAAGATTGTATGATAAATGGTAAGAACACTTTTTTCTTACATCAAACAAAATAGTGATTTTTATATCTTTACTTTTTTAACTTTACCAAAATAAATTTACATTAAATTGAAGAACAATTTTTTGAAAAGTTTAGGACATTAGCAGT